GAAACAGAAGTGTGAGCGCTAACTAAACTAGCATCAGCAGCCAAGTACTGCCTGTGTGTTCCGGCCACTTCCACCCCGTCGGATGGGCATCTCTGGGGTGGAAGTGTCCCCCCGATCGCGCCGGATATTCATCATTAAGTGGGCCTGAATATCCAGAGACCAGCTCTAGTTTTTCGTGTTTCGACGACGTGTAGGTCTGATAAGTGTGACCTGGCCATTCAGACAGAAGTCGCACAGCAAAAGATCAGATACCTGTCAGATTTAGGACCACCTACCTTTCGATGTCAACCGACGGGCCCGTGCACAAGCGCACAGGTCAGTTAGGTGTGAAATCCAGTGATGCGTAGTGTTCTAACAATACACTAGTTATTATAACAACTAAAAACAATAAACATTAACAACAAATGAGCCTTCCAGCATCAAGCCCTCCTTGTATCTCGACTTCTGACAGCCTTGCTATCCGACATAAAAGAAGGTTTTACATTTAGTTTCGGATTATCGAGTCACGACTGTATTTCTACTGAAGGTACAAAACAGGTATCCCTGCCTAGTGTTTTGCAGTGTGTGTAAATTTACAATTACATTTTTCAGTTTAAAAAGCCAGAAATGTGGATCTTCTTACTGAATCTGTTGATTTTTCTTTATTGATCATTGTGGATGCAAAAAGAGTCAAATAGAATCATTTGATATTTACTCCTGTGACCGTCTTCTTGTCTCCTCCTCGTTGTGCTATAGTCTTTGGTGTTGAGCCTGACCTGACTCGTGAGGGAGGAAGCATCCCCGTCACCCTGACCTTCCAGGAGGCCACAGGACGCAACGTCATGCTGCTCCCTGTCGGATCCTCTGATGATGGAGCTCACTCCCAGAACGAGAAGATCAACAGGTACGTCACAGCACACAGTTTGGCTTCTTTTAAAGTGTTTATAGGAATAAACACAGTCACTTGTCAACATAGACAGCTAAACAGAAAGGTTAAAATGTCAATATCAGTTCTTGTTGAGGCTTTCAGTCAAGATGTTTAACCACCGTTTCATTTCTCCATTTTCAGATCCAACTACATTCAGGGAATCAAGATGCTGGGTGCGTACTTCCATGAGGTTTCCCAGCTGGAATGAACTGATGATGTCTGATCATGAAAACTGTATAATATGTCCATTCTCACTATCAGAGCCATAATCTTTGTGCTACAGCTTACCTCCCACAGTTATCAGTTTTATACACACGACTAATAATAAAGTGTTTTCCTTTGTTACCCTGTGTTGTCCTGCTTGTTTAATATCCTAATATGATTTACGAACTATGTCATGCAGAAGAACAGTCATCTGCTTATAACAACCCACAATGGCTTTAAATTGATTTTAGAAGACTCGGTTAGGCAGGTGTCGGATGTGTTGCTGACTTAAAGTAGGATCTGTGATTACAGTGTACAGCCAAGTGCAGAATTACAGTTATATGGCCAACACACAGCGATACAGATTTCTGATATGGCCGCTTTAAATGGAAACAACTTTATTTACAAATAAACAAAACAGTGCACAAGTTCATATCTCTGTACTTACCAAACATGCAAAAAGAAGCATTCATGTCATGCTCATAACGGGGCTGGATAGTTAAAGACATGCTGCACATTTTACAAAAATATAAATGTATGGTCTAATAACTGCATATAATGAGATGTATTTATGATTTTCTTGGTTGCTAGTGTGGTATTTAGATACTGACGTATAAAAAGACAAATTTTCTTGTCTCTTTCCTAACACTGTGGTGCTGAAACAAGAATTTTAGAATTCTTTTTTTTTTGTCATTGCACAGTTTACAATAAATTAAATCAGACATTTCAAAAGCAGAATTAGAAATGTGCAAGTATAAAACATAACATTGGGTAGAAAAAAATAGCATGTGTATCTATAAAAACAGTGGGATAGCTTATTCTTTTAAAAATAAATTGATTCGTATATTAGGAATCATAAAAACAGAATAACTGATGCTGTACTTCTGAATATTGCACGTTGTTGAATAAGTACGAATAATGTGGTGCAATAGGATTTAAGTTTTGTGTCTCTTCAGAATTTGTACCATCAAGGAAATGTATTTTAATAATAAAATATAATCTAGAAACTAATAAATGAAACTTTGGAAATCATCAGAGAAGTACTTTTAACAGCTCCTGCGCCTTTAAGAAAGATGGAGGCGGAGGCTGTACGGAAGCCGAGAGGGAAGGCCTGTTCGCCACTTTGGCAGATGCTGGTTTTTAGTAGCTGCTATTAGAATTCGAGCATTTTGGAGTGAATCACAGCTACTATAGCCGATATTCGTTTTTATTTCTGCTCACCTTTAGTATTTGTGTTTCACTACTTTCAATAAGCGTGTGAAACCACAGAGCTCGATGTTCTGAGATTGGAGAATACAGGAAAGAACCTGGCAACCCAAGCTGTCACTGCTCCGGCGCGGGAAAATCGTAAACAACAGAGCAGAGGGAAGAAGGAAGAGCATGAATGATATTTTAGATATAAATTTATTCTGCAGACATGTCAATAAGAACAAGGAGGAGACGCTAAAGCAGCTAGCTGTTGTTAAAAACCAACAAGTTTTCGCTGCTAACGTTTGAAAAATGAGAGAAACGACGTCGCGTTTGTAACGTAAACCGCAAATTTAACGGAGTGCGATATTATAAAGTGGACTCATTGAGCCGGTCAGGTGAATGTAAATAACTTATCGACCCTGGGGCCACCATGGATCGCTACAATGAGGTGAAACTCCTGCTGAAAGGCTGGGAGCAGGGGTTTGTCAAACACCACCAGAGGAAACCCAACAAGGTGATTTAAATGTTAGCACATAGCTAGCTAGCTAGCTAGCAGCACACTGCTCTGAATAGCAACAACAGGCTGTTTTGTTTGCATGCGGGTTGTGTTGTTGTCTAGTGTTGCTGTTGATTTTTTACAAAGCTCTTTAATTTCCAGGAGGACATTGACCAGGCTCCAGAAGAGACCAGGAGTGAGCACTGACCATACATGCAACACAGACACACAGATGTATTTCCAGCTTCTGCATAAAACATCAGTTTAACCAATGACTGTGTATCTCTTTTACAGAGTTGTATAAAGAATACCGCAGTTTAAAACAAGCCAAAGAGAACAGCGGCAGTGATGCAGCCAGTCACACTGAAGCCACAGCTGAGCTCAACACATCCCAGAAGGTGCTGAACAAAGTCTGTTTGTGCTGCATTTCAGCAACTCTTATGTTTTTGTCAGATCTAGTTGCTATCTAAAATATCTGAAAGATTGCAGAGTTCCCACATTATCTGCACGAGTCCCCCTCAGTTTCTTTATTATACTCTATCACTGGTTCTTCCTCTGTCATCCATCCTTCATCTACATCTTTTGGGTTTATTGGCAGTTGGCAAACCAGTTCAAATAAGGATTATCGGTATCTGTTGGGCTGGAGTGAAACAGAAGATTGCCAGTCAAAAATACAACAAAATTATTATCTATACACCGCTTAATCCTCACTGGGGTCGCGGGGGGCTGGAGTGTATCCCAGCTGACTCAGGGTGAAGGCAGGTTCACCTGGACAGGTCACCAGTCTATCACAGGGCCACACTTAGAGACAGACAACCAAGCACACTCACATTCACACCTACGGACAATTTAGAATCACCAGTTAACCTCAACATGTTTCTGGACTGTGGGAGGAAGCCAGAGAACCCGGAGAGAACCCACGCTGCACGGGGAGAACATGGAGACTCCACGCAGAAAGATCCCGGGTGTCCTCACTGGGACGCGAACCGGCGACCTTCTAGCTGCGAGGCAATGCTGCTAACCACTGAGCCACCTTGCAGCCCATACAACAAACAAACAAACCAAAAAAAAAAAAGTTCTCTATCAATGCTGTGTCGTTAAAACATATCACAAGCTGGACATATTGCTACTCCAAGGAAACTCTAACATGAGGTCAGGTTTTTTCTTCTCTTAGTCTCCTTCGTCCTCCATTTAAAACTCATGAAGTTGTTTTTGCTGTGTTCCCAGCTCTCCCGCAAGATGGTCTTTGCAGGGTGTGACTTATTATGAACGCTGCAGGTTATCCTGATATATCAGCATAAGTTGTGCTCCTCGAATGCTCAAAGGCATCTCTCCCGTTTCAACCTGCATGACTGCTGCTGCCGGGGATGTTTTGATTGCTCCACTGCATATTCTCAGGACTTGTTCCTTGTCTTTCCTTCATTGCTTTGTTCTTTTTAAATCTTTGTCTCTGTTGATTTAGGAGTCAGACTGTTGGGGTGCCCACCTGAATCGCAGTGCGTTGCCAGTGCCTTCTCCCAGACTGACATCCGAGGACAGAGACAGTCTAAAGGCTTCTTCTCAATATTATGGCCTGAAGCTTAAAAACAACCTGGCTTCTCTCAGTAAGGTGAGGGGACCACACTTATTGTAGAAAGCCTACTCATTGTGCTTGTTTGAAGCAACAATGCGGTATAAAATTGTTGTTATGATTTTTTTTCACTATTGAAGGAGAGACCTGCCTCACTGAAGAAATCGTACCTTCCTGGTCGGGTACCTCTGAACTCCTTGAAAGGTGAACAAACCGTACAAACAAACAGCCCCAGATCTGCCGCTGCCAAGACCACGACTGCTAACTCTGAATCCAGCCCCTTCTCAACAAGGTATTGAAAAAAAAAAAAAAGAAAGTACCTGCATGTTAACTGAAGATATAACTACTACTTTTGCAAAAATACTCCAGTTGTAAAGTATCAGTTGCACACAGACAAAAACCTTTTCAGTATGTTCATGTTTTCAGCAACCATCTCTAATCTTTATTTAAGATTATCTCTCTCTTTTGATTTGCTTTATGCTCATTTTAATACGATTGTTTGTCTAATATTCTTTCAAAACATTTTAAAGGACCACTGCTTCGATGAAATTAGTAATCAGCGTCTTTTGTGTCTCATTTCTGTGCATTTTGTGCCATTTTAGAATCTTGGATTGAGTGACTCAGTGATGATTTATGTGAGTCGTCCTTGTTATTGTGTTCTTACTTATAGAAGAATTAAGCCATGCCTCGGGGCCCTGGCTTCAAAGACTCTCCATCCAGTGGAGCCTGAAGAACCGTTTGCACCATTTGACGAACCTGCAGATGCTGCTGGCGGTCTCAGCGGTCGTAATAGCAGTGATAGTATTAGTAGAGACACTTATTCACAGCTGAATGCCTCCGTTTTAGCTCCTTCTCCAGCCAGGTCCTCTGCCCTGTTGTCGTCTTTATCTCCTTCACGTACCGTAGATGTTAGAGCCGCAGGAAAGTTAAATGAAAGTTTAGAAGCTTTAGTCAATGCTGAAGCATTTGGAACTCCACATCGGGATGCTGACTCTGCAGGTGTTGGAACTCCAGTTGGCTTTAAAGAAAGCCCACAGTTTGTTGGAGGTTTCAGGGGTGGAATCTTAGGTAAAGACTTTGGAGGAAGGCCTTCTCCCGCCAGCAGGCTGAGCTTTGTGGATAGGCAGTGGCTCGAGAGATGTCAGGTGTTTGGAGAGATGGGAGCTGAGGAAAGGCCCGGAGCAGGGAACCAGGAGATTCATGTGGAGAAAGGAGGAGAGAGAGACCAGAGACAAGAAATTCAAGGAGGCGAAAGAGCAGGAAAGGAAGAATCAGTTGGAGAGGGGCAAAGAAAAGAGTCACTAGACTTAGGAAAAGATGAAAATGTTGAGAGCATCACAAGGAATAAAATAGTCAGTGAGACTGCACCAAAACCTGCTAGACAACATACTGGAAAAGACGTACGAGGAGGAGGGGAGGAGAAGGAGAAAAAGGCAGATGAGGAGATGGAAAGAGGACAAGCATCATTTACAACACCTGAAGGTGACACTGAGAATGGGCATAAATCCAAAAGCACAAAGAAGAGAGGGAGGAAGAGGCAGAGAGAGGGAGAAGACATGGACGGAAATGCTACAGAAGAAGGAGGAGAGAAAAAGAGGCGAAGGAACGTTGAAAAGAAAGAGAAGAGCTCTGATGTCAACTCCAGCTCACCTCAGGGAGGAGCAGGGAAGAAAAAGAGACGCAAGAAAAAAGGAGAAGAAGAGGATGTTGAAGAGGATGAGAAGGAGGAAGAAACCAAAGTACCAAAAAAGGTAAGAGGGTGAAATAATATCCATCTCATTTTTGTGCGTTAAATAAAGTTGATCTAAAATATATAGTTTCTGTCAAGGTGCCCCAAGAGAACTTGTTAGGAGAAGTAGAGGAGGAATTTCTTCCAAGAACATATCGCACACAGTCTGTCAGAGCCAGGTAAGGCCAAATGAGTGTTTGAACTGCAAAACGGTGCTGAAGGATCTTTACTTGTAGTCTGTCTCATTTTTTTTTCTTCTCATTTTGACAGAGTTGCAAAAGGTGCAGAGGGTAACTTTGTGAAGATAAATCTGAAGAAGAAATCTCACGTCAAAGGATACGCGCTGAGAGGAGTTGGTCTGCGCAAACAGGTGGGTTTTAAGTGTTTGTTAATGGTATGTAATACAGGATACATGCTGATGTCTAGCCCCGAGGAGTTTTTTATAATCCAAACATTCATGGTACAACTGGATCCTCCTGCTTGTTAGTGAGGGCTGCTCTGGACAAAGGTGGATAGAAACGTTATATTGACTTATTTGCTGTTTAATTCCTTTCAACATCTATTTAAAACAATAGAAGGTGAACCAAAGTTCTTTCCCTTTGAGACAAATGATTAACTCAAATCTACACGACTGAATAGTAATCTGAGGGCACTTCAATATTAAGGTCAAGACCTTATAATATTAGCACAATTAGAGACACAAAACTGCATTTTAACAGCATGAAACCTGTAAAAAAAAAAAAAAGAGTGTATTTAGTGCTTCTTTTGTACCATAAGTCTTCTGTGTGTGTGTGTGTTGCAGCTGTACATGCAGAAGTTCCAGCTGAAAGGAGAGCGTTTTGGTGGAGGTGGCGGATATTTTGGCAGAGGACGGAGAGGCGGCTTCAGAGGGGGATTCAATCGACAAGGAGACACCTGCTACAAGTGTGGGGGGACCGGACACTGGGCTATCGACTGCAAGGGACGAGGTGACGCACATAGAAACTCATTCCTTAAGAGAAAAGAGGTGTGCTTTTCCTGTACTGAAATTCAGCCAGGTGTTCTACCTTTTAAAGCCTCTAGGGTCCATAGCAGAAGACCTTCTACAGTATAAATGAAGTCATGCTTTTTCTACCTGTTGTCGAACACTTTGTGATCACAAACAGTTGCCAGATGTGTTGCTTCTCTCTGATTGTCGTTTTGTAGCTCCTCCGCCTCCTGTTCCCGATGATAACCCTGCTGAAGAGGAGCCGTTTGAACTGCCCACCCTGGAGGATGTCGCCAGGGCAACGGGAACGCTGCGACCTCAGCCGCTGGGTAAGTTTGTTTTATGAGGACGCTGCTTTCTGCCTCAGTCTGTCTGGGACACCCCTGCTATGTTTTTCTAGGTTTAAAGTAAAAAAAAATGTTATGAAATTTAAACTGCAATATACACAGTTGAAACCAGAAGTTTACAAACACTGTATAAAAAGACACATAACCTTTATTTTCTCACTGTCTGACATTAAATGTGACTAAACTTTTCCTGCTTTAGCTCAGTTAGCATTACCAAAACTATTTCTCTTTGCTAAATGCCAGAATAATAAGAGAGAGAGAATTTTTTATTACTTTCTCGTGCTTCAGTGGCGTCTCCCAGCATTAAAGAGGAGCAACAGGAAAAGGATGCGGACAGTAACCATAGCGATGAGGTGCTGCTGAATGTGATTCGTCCTGATTATGAACGTCCTGCTCCTCCACCGCCTGTGGAACCGCTTTATCACCCCACAGAAGAAGGGAAAGTCCAGGGTAAAGTTGTACACATCCTTCTATTGGAAACCCTGTGTGATCAAGTACAACTGGATATATAAGTGATCTTTTTGTTCGTGTTTGTTCAGAAACACCAGACGAAGTGTACGCAGCTCTGAAAGAACTCGGCTATCAGTCGTTTAGAGCAGGACAGGAAGAAGCCATCATGAGGATCCTGTCAGGTAAAGACGGAACATGAGCTCGTACATCCTGCACGCATCTCCGTAGCTATAATTTGTTTGTCTCTCCGTCTTTAGGCCTCTCTACCCTCGTGGTGTTGTCAACCGGGATGGGTAAATCGTTGTGCTATCAGCTCCCAGCATATCTGTATGCTCAGCGATCAAAATGCATCACTTTGGTCATTTCACCTCTCGTCTCTCTAATGGATGATCAGGTAAACACTCTGATACTGTAGATGAGCAAAGAGCAAACACACGTTCTCATGCCACTGACAAATTGTTTTATGAATGTCCTGTGTGTGTGTGTGTGTGTGTGTAGCTGTCTGGTCTGCCAGCCAAGCTGAAGGCAGCGTGTATCCACTCCAACATGACGATGAAGCAGAGAGAAGCCGCAATAGAAAAGGTAACACACACACACACACAGGTGGATGTCATTCAGGTATCAGACATGATTGCTCCACATTAATTACAGCTACTTTGTTAATGTCATTAGAAAAATCTATGTTTCTACTGACAGTTACAGTCATACATATAGTTATACATGGTTCTAGTGAATTCTATACAGTGACATATACAGACAGAAAAATAAGAAAATAAGGGCTTTTCTGTTGGATGAAATATTCAATACTAAATATAAGTTTAAGTTTTTAGTACTAGTGTTGAATGAGAGAAAGTTGGATCGTGTCATCTCTTCATACTTCTTCTCTGCCTCGTGTTTGTAGATTTAATGTGAAAAACACAGTTCAGTCTCTCAGTCTGGTGCCTCATCAGCTCTTCTGAGTTTTTATCTAAACTGTACCGAGGTATTGTGTTGACACAGTATTATTCAGCCGTTTTTTCACATTCTTTTCTTCCTGTGTTTGTCCAGGTGAAGTCAGGCCAGGTGTGTGTGCTGCTCCTCTCTCCAGAAGCCCTGGTTGGCGGAGGAGGATCGGGTTCGGGGTGTCTGCCGTCTGCTCAGGAGCTCCCTCCTGTGGCCTTCGCTTGTATAGACGAAGCTCACTGCGTCTCGGAGTGGTCGCACAACTTCAGACCCTGCTACCTGAGGCTCTGCAAGGTGGGTTCCTGGTGCCGAATGTGTGGTTCCTTGGACTTATAGTTGCCCCTTCTCTCTTTGAGATGCCCGTCTGTACATTAGAAGAAAAGGCGCTGAATGTTATTGTAATCAAACAAATGCCTCTAAAAACTAACTGTAAAAAGATTATTTAACAAAGAGAAGGAAGGACTTTAAAAGGAAAAGAAAAGAAAAACCCAACGTACCACACGCACATATTGCACATTCAGTCATCAAACTTTTAATACAGTTATTACCAAAATATTTCATGATCAGCAAACAAATCAACCACCAGTAATAATGCACAGATACTTTAAGATGACATATGAACAGTTGAAGTGTTTTGAGTGTAACAAGAACTGCATAAATCTCACCAAAAACCACTTTACATGGTTACACACCAGCAGTCGCCATGATGGGATTTTAAGTCTGTAAGAATACTGGACTGTAAGAAAGAGTTGTATAATTCATTAATCAACTTTCTCTGCTTCCTTTCTTTCAGAACACGGTTATTTCTATTGATTAGAAAGTGCCACAGTTTTCTTTTCAGTCGGGAGTTTAACAGAAAAGTGTTTCTTGTTATGTTTGTTTGTAGGTGCTACGGGAGCGTCTGGGGGTGAAGTGTTTGCTCGGACTCACGGCCACAGCCACACTGTCCACTGCTCTGGACATCGCTCAGCATCTGGACATCAGCGACCAAGACGGCATCGCTGTCAGATCCGCGGCCGTGCCTCCAAACCTGAACCTGTCCGTGTCGATGGATGGAGAAAAGGATCAGGTGCGTTTATTTATGTCCATGACCGACACAATGCAGAGCAGACATGTCAGAAATGTGATTCTGTCCCATACTTTTTAAAGTTTAAAGGAATATTTAGTATTTTCTTACTTTCCTCTGTGTGTCTCTCCTTCTTTACATTTCCAGGCCTTAGTCTCGCTGCTGAAAGGTGATCGTTTCGGTTGTCTGGACTCCATCATCGTCTACTGCACCAGAAGAGAGGAGACCGTCCGTGTGGCAGCGCTGCTCAGAACCTGCCTTCAGGGGGTTCTGGTGAAAGAAAACCACCAAACCAGCGGCAGCAGCAGTCAGGCACAAAACAACCCTGTAGGACAGAGAAAGAAAGAACTGGGTACGTTTGATTCAGGAAATGCCTCTGTACTTTGGGAGAGTAAGAAACAGGCTAACCTTCACTGTGTTATATCACTATTTATGATGATAGCAGCTTCTGTCGTTTTAACTTAGTTTCGTCTGGTGTTCGTTTGTCTCTGTATATTCAGCGCGGAAGAAGATCCGTAAGCCGCTGAAATGGCAGGCGGAGTCCTACCACGCCGGCCTGTCGGGGTCGGAGCGCCGACGCGTCCAGAACAACTTCATGTGCGGAGAGCTCCGAATCGTGGTGGCCACTGTGGCGTTCGGGATGGGCCTGGATAAATCCGACGTCCGCGGTATCATCCACTACAATATGCCAAAGGTGGGTGGTGGTGTGATTTATCTAGAACAGTGTCTCTTTAGATTCTTACTCAACATCTGGCTCTGTGTGCTACCTTAAAAGCTTCTTAAAACAGGAATGCAGAACTGTTCAAACTATCTCTTTTACGGTGTCTATCTATTGCCGTCAAACTTTATCAGGATTATCCGTATTGCACGTGTTTTTTCAGAGCTTCGAGAGCTACGTTCAGGAAATCGGGAGGGCAGGGAGAGACGGAGAACCGGCTCACTGTCACCTCTTCCTGAACCCTGAGGTGAGACTTAAACTGTTTATTTAGAAAGACAGTAAAGTGAACCTTAAAGCATTTAAGGGACCACATCACAAAATACTATACATGTTATTGACTAACTTGACGTGCACCATTTGCTTTTTTAAAATGTTGTCGTCCTTCTTTAGAGATTTTCTACTTGTCACTGTTTACATGAATGCACTAAAACGCTGCTCCAGTGTCCATGAAACTGACTGTGTTTTGGATTCTGCTGCGTACGTGCAGGGTGACGACCTCCACGAACTCCGTCGCCACATCTACGCAGACACAGTGGACTACTACACAGTGAAGAGACTGGTCCAGAAGGTTTTCCCAGCATGCAAATGTAAACAGATACACCAGAAACAACAAGACCTCTTCAAGGTGAGTGCTCCTCTGTGTGTCTGGTGCCTGCAGTGGTGGTTTGGTGTCCATACTACTCTAAATAAAATAAATGAAACTGTATTTGTAGGATGTTGAAGACTCAGAGTTGTTAGAGATGATGGATATGTGCGATCAGGAGAGCAGCCTGAATCCTTCTACTCAGCAGGACCTGCTACATACAGATCAACCACAAGTTGCTGCTTCACAGGTAAATAAAAGGAAAAATGTTTTTTATTCTCTTCGTGTAGACACAATGAGTGTGTAACACAATCCTGTTTTTACTGCAAGGAGACCTCAGATCTTGATTCAGCTGAGATACCCATCCAAGAGGAAAGAGATGAAGGAAAGGAAAAGGAGGAGAACCAGGAGGACGACAGCAAAGGAGACCAGCCAGTTAAAGACGAAGGAGCTGATTGGCAGAAAGACCAGGAAGTCGAGAGCAGCCATTGGCCCAAAGAGCGAGTGTGTCACACACACGAGAGAGCGATTCCCATCCAAGAAACTGTGGAGGCTCTGGACATCACAGAAGAAGGTCAGTGGAAACATACGGCAGTAATTAAAGCAAAGAAGAGTTTAATATGGTTGTAGGCACACAGATTGATTTGTACATGGAAAGGACGTTAGCATAAATCTTGATCTACTAAGACAGGATTCAAGCCTGACATTGTTCGTGCGTATCAGTCCAGTCAGGCTGTGTGACGTCACAACATCATGTGTAAATTCAAAATAAATGAGAATTTAGTGGCTGTGGTACACGATGTACTGTATCCAGCCAAAACTGAAGGACATCATCAAACATTAACACAGTTTAGTGACCGCAGCATAAAGGAAACTGTTGTTCTCAATAATAACAATTTTTTTTCACAGCACCTTTCAAAACTGGAGGTTCTTCACAAAACATTAAAAAAACAACTATAAAAGAAGACAGTAAGATATTACTAAAGACAGAGCAGCCTTTAATAGAGTACAAACAGAATATCAGAGAAAGAATAGCAGGTTATTTAGATGCTTGTGTGTATAGGTGGCTTTTTGCAAACCTTTTGAACTGAGGAAGTGACAGCTGTTCTACAGTCAGAGGGGCTTGTTCCACAGCGTTGGGGCTCTCTGATAGTACTAGGTACAGAACTGTAGGATGTTCTTTTTTCTCAGAAGCTGGAGGGACGCACTGAAAACCAGCAAACAAAATCAGTGCAATTGTAAAAACAAGAGAAGTTGTAAAATGACTTTTTTCTTGTTTGTTTGTTTCCAGGTGTTGAGACGCTGCTCTGCTATCTGGAGCTGCATCCACAGCGCTTTGTTGAGCTCCTCCATCCCACTCTGTCTGTGTGTAAAATCAGCTGCTACGATGGACCAAGACAGCTGCAGAAAATCACTAAAATGTACGAGCTGTTTGTCTGGTAGAGTGCCCTTATAGCTCCATGAGCACAAATGTGTGTTTATTTACATAATTATCATCATCATCATCATATATCACTGGAAACTGAAATATGGGGGATCAAATGTGTATTTTCTTCAACGTTTCTCTTCCTCACAGTTGCCCTCCGATCACGGTGGTGTTGGCCAGAAAGCGGATGGCCGGCGAGCGGGTGGAGGCGTGTGATCAGCTGGAGTTTGATGTCGTTGAGGTAGCCGACACTATGGGATGGCAGCTTCCACTTGTGAAGAGAGGACTCCGACAGCTGCAGTGGAGCACCGGTAGAGGTTTGTTTCTGGATGTGTCTGTAATCTGTTGAATTTCAGAAATACAGTAATATTCTTTATTTTTATTTTTTCAAAGTTATTTTTTGGCATTTTTGCTTTTATTGTATAGGACAGTGAAGAGAGAGACAGGAAAGCAGGCTGTTGTTGTGTGTCACCCCCGAGGTTCTCTTCATCTTCCGTGAGGTCACAGAAGCAGTTGGTCATAAACTGTTTTTTGTTTTTTTTTCAGCTGGCGGACGTAGCGGCGTCCATGTTGAATTCTCCTCCCCTTCTTTCTACTTCCGTTCCTACGGCGACCTGAGCGACGAGGAGATGGACCGAGTTTGTCAGTTCCTCCATCATCGAGTGCAGGACCAAGAGAGGACGCAGCTGTACCAGCTGACGGCTTGTTTCAAGGCCTTCAAGAGGTGCGATCGGTTCTTTTAAGTAGCACCGTTTGTTTAGATTTCTCAAAGATAAATTGTGGAATCTGACTCAGATGGGATGTTTACAGGTATCTTGCCTTTAGTTTCTGGCCTTTCTTAGCCGAGATAATCGCTGTTTATTTGTCTTTTGCATTGCCTAAGCTTAAAATATAATTTTCTAAACTCCACACAATATTTTTATTGAACAATTGTTATTCAGGCTGAAACCATTTGTCATTTTATTTATCAGTATATTAACTAGAGTAAGACTGGCAAATGAAATGTTCACATAAATTGTTAATAAATTGAATCATTTAGTTAAATGTAGTGATTTGATGTTCTGAGCAGTGACGGGTTTTAGACTGTTTGGCCACTTGAGCTTTGGGAAATTGTGACGCTTGTTTTTCACAGTTTACTTACAGTTTATTACCAAAACAGTCCGTAAAACTGAAATAATCAATAAGGATCAATGAGTAGGGAAAATAACTGTTGGCAGCTTTGCAAGTTATTCATGGATATTGTTGAAATTTTAATATCAAACCGCCCACACTGTTGACATCAAACCTTCTAGAGTCTCAGTGTTTAGCATGACTGCTTGTCTTTGTCTTTCTCATTTGTGCAGTTTATCCTCCGTCTGTCTGTGAGCATGTAAACATTAACCTTGTGTGTGTGTGTGTGTGTTGTGTTCCAGCGTTGCCTTCCGAAGCGTGTCGTCCTGTCTGGAGGACTTGGATGACAGTCGCAGTCTGCAGCTGAAAAGCCTTCTGTCCGAGTACTTCGACAAGAGACGAGACAGAGGACACGCACTCCAACCGCTGGACCTCGAGGAGCTCGACAAATACAAGGTGAAAAACACACATTTAGGGAGGGTTTTTGTTGAATTTGCAGCTGTGAATGTTGTGGCTTACGTCTGTGTGTGTGTGTGTGTTTGTAGCTGTTGGACTGGGAGAGTCAGATCAGAGCCGACATCAGGAGTTTTCTCGGCAACCGGAGTGATGAGAAGTTTTCTGGAAGAGCTGTTGCAAGAATCTTGCATGGTATAGGTGAGGACACACACACCCACACACACACACACACACACACACACACACCTGAGCATGCTCCTACAGAAAAACAAGCACAGGTACCCAGAGCCAAATATATATTTTAATCTAGTGCATTAGCTAAACAGTTCTTTCCTTCCTACACTGAATTTGAAGGTGTTTGCAGGTTTAACTTCACTATAATAAGTTTTAGTTGCAGACTCTATCAGGCAGCGTATACATCATGTACTCTGTCTGTAAACTCTGCTTTGACTCTTCAATCGTAGATGTTTTAATTCTCCGTGCAGAACACCAGTGACGCCAAGCAGAAGGACTGAACCTTTAGACCTGTAGAGGTCACTAGAGAACCAGTTTAGGAAGGTTTCCTTTTACTGAGGTGTGACGGCAATATGTCAGCCTTTTAGTTTACAAACATAATCTACACAACATTTAAAAAAAGTACTTTAATTGCTGTAAATTATCTATGAAACATCCTCTAAAGCTTCGTCTGTCATACACGCTCACTGATTTCCCAATAACTTGATCTTATTCACACCAACTCCTCTCAGTCTGTTCGTCTCAAGCGATCAGTAAACCTTTAAGCTACTCCTGCATCGTCATTAATTTTAGTCCTGTCTGTTTTCCTTTTTTCAGCTGATTTATTTCCATTGGTTATTGTGTTCGTTCTCAGAAAGATTGCTGCAGATAAACAACAGTTGTGGGATTTTTATGGAAGCGCTAACCTGGTGTCAGCAGTTCAACAAGGGTTTGATTTTATCTGGATTTTCAGCACAGATAAGAAAACCTTTTTACAGTTCTTGAGTTTTGCCTGTTGTTCTTCTTTTGCTGTCAGAGTAAAAAAAAATCTGATAACTAAAGAGCTGAGGTTGTTTAAGCAGGCGGCTCCCATCAGTTTGGATCCAGAATTACACACCTTGATTTCTGGCTCCCTTTTCTGATGTTAGTTTTATTTTTCGGGCAGAGTCTCAACATGCGTTTTCTCAGGACACCTCACATAGAAAGGTCCAGACCTTATGATGTTCTATTATAGAGAGAAACCCAACAAATCCATCAACCAAAGCCAAGATACAGACCGTACAGTCGTGATTCGATAATCTGACACTAAATGTAAAACTGTCTTTTATGTCGGATATCAAGGCTGTCGGATTGTCAAGACGGAGGTCGAGATACAAGGAGGGCTTGATGCTTGACGGCTCATTTGTTGTTAATATTTATTGTTTATAGTTGTTATAATAACTAGTGTATTGTTAGAACTCTACGCATCGCTGGATTTCACGCCTATTGATTGTGCACATTCCGGCCACTTCCACCCCGTCAGAGCGCACCCCCCAGTGTGGAAGTGTCCGGAACACACAGGCAGTACTTGGCTGCTGATGCTGTTTAGTTAGCGCTCACACTTCTGCTTTATATGATGTGTTCAAGCACCTTGTGTTGTTTTATTTCAAGCGTTTA